GCCCGCCGCCTCCACCCATCCCCGTGGCTGCCGTCCGGCCTTCCCGGGCCTTGCTGCCGGCCGGCGGCCGTGCGGCACCCGGAAGGTGCCTTGCGCGCGTGCACGGAGCCCCCTGTGTGCCCAGCGCGGGGCTGCCGAATGAGAGCATTGCTGTGGTTTGCTGAGCGGCAGCTGTCCCCCGGCCCCGTTAGGGTTAGTTAGTGCTCATGGCAGACTTATGGGTAGGTACTGTTAGGATCACCGTCAGACAAAAGAAAAACCCGAGGCCTGGAGAAGTTAAGGAACTTGACCCGGACCTCACGGCCGCGAAGTGTGTGTTCAGGGGCCCGTGCGTGCTGGGAGGAACGCACGAGCCCGGAGATCACAGAGCAGAGTCGAGAGGGGCTGCGGAGGGAGCGGGAAGGGCCGCCCCTTGCCGGCCCCAGCCCTCGCAGGCGGTGTCCTGCACACTGTCTTGAGCCGGGCCTCGGGGAAGGCTAGTTCAGCTGAGCGAAAGGGCAGAGCTTGCAGGTGGGAGGGCTGCGGGGGCAAAGGCACGGAGCTCAGAGAGGGCAGGGTGTGCCTGGCAGAGGGTTGGGCAGGAGGTCGTGGGAGACGTAGCTGCAGGGAGAGTTGAAGGGGTTTAGTTGCGGGGCCAAAGGACGAGGCCTTCATGCGGGTGAGGGGCTGTGGAAGGCATTTGGGGCTCTCTTACTTTGGCTGCTTCCAAGCAAAAAGTCTGCTTCCCTGCCGCAGTCCACCCACCTTTTAGTGAATGGAGCGGGCACCATCTCGCACCCAGTACTGGGAAGCCTCAGTTGGTGTACCCAGCCCCGTTCAGTAGGAGGAAGATGGCTGTACCTTAGCGTTCACAGTTTTTCTTAATAAAGTAGGAATTCTTAGATGCCTTGTTTGTATAATACCACACAAAAAACCCCGAACCCACTGCCACTGAGTTAATTCCAAGTCATAGTGACCTTGTAGGACAGAGCTGCCCCATAAGGTTTCCAAGACTGTAATTCGTTTTGTAAGCAGAATGCCTCATCTTTCTCCTGCTGAGCAAATGGTGGGTTTGAACCACCAGCCTTTAGGTTAGCAGCCAAGCCTCTAACCATTGTGCCACTCGGGCTCCTTTGTAACACTGCATAGTCAGGGGCAGTTTCCAGGGTGAGTGGGATTTCTGTGTATGAGGAGCCGGGCGATGAAATTGAGGAGACTTCTCCAGTAAGCTGTCAGACGGCCAGAGAGGAGAGGTGGCAGAGCAGGAGCGGTGGCTGCTGAAACTGGGTGGCCTTCTGTGGGACTAGGGCTGAATGGTAGCCAGCTCAAGGGCCTAACCCGGCTGGCAGATGAAGCCTTTGGGCAGTACCACCCACACCTTGAGAGCGGGAGCCCCACCCACATACCATTTCCCCTCACAGCTGTCCTCTTCCCATCCAGAAGTGCCCTGGTCCTTGAAGAGCATCTAAAGCCTTAGTCACATCTGAGGTCATCTCGTCCAGCCTCCCTCCACACACCCTCCCATGCACCACCCTTGACGGCTAGTGCTGCCTCTGCTCAAACTGGTTATGTGTTACCATTTTCAGAGAGGTCCATCAATGACTTTCTCTAAAAGATCCACGTTAGTTGCTAGGACAGATGTCTCTTGGTGGCAGCTGCTTCCAGAACCTCCACAGATACTAACATCCGTGGATGCTGAAGTCTTGTATGTAAAAGGGTGTAGCATTTGCATATAATCTACATATATTCTCCTGTACTTTGAATCATCTCTAGATGACTAATGATACCTAACACAATGTAAATGTCATGTGAATAGTAATTTGTGCCTCTATTAGTCTTTGAGGGACGACTTTGACCACTTAATTGGTTTTTCCCCCCAAATATTTTCAGTCCACCATTGGTTGACTCCACCAACGCAGGACCCACTGATAGAGAGGGCTGACTGTAGTCACTTGTGTTTTGTGAATAGTCACCTACCATCTGTTAAGGCTTAACTCCCAGCATTTTGTAAAGCCCCAGACCCCTTACAGACAGAAGGAGGCACAGTTACAGGGCCTCCGCTCTGACCCATAAATCCAACCTTTAGATGCGGGTGGGTCACGTTACTAGCTCACCCATCAAAAGCAAAGCATGCCCTTCAGATCCCTGACGCTGGTCACTGAGTCACTGTGTGAACATCCCCAGTGGCAGGACAGCTCTGCCGAGGGGGCACCACATCTCTAACGACTTCTGCCCATGTAAGAGCCCACCTTGGTGGCCTGTATCCGATCTTCCTAACCAGACTCCAGGGTGTGTCGTTGACCTCCGGTGCAGCTGCTGCGCAAATGCTGGTGGCCCGAATTTTCACCTTGGAAAGGGTGGGAGTAGTGAGAGGAGGTCTGAAGCCCCAGGCCTCCTGCACCATCAGAAAGCACTTCCATCAAGGCTGGCGAGGTTTGCAGTAATGGTGATTCGTAGCTTGTGGGGAGGGGAGCCGTTGGAGAGGGAGCAGAGTCAGACCCTTCTGGAAGGAGGAGGATTGGCCATTAGGTTTTTACGTTTATTCAAAGGGGACATGAAATGCCTGGTTGTACTAGGCTCGGGAACCAGCTGGTTTTGCCATGTCATCATCAGTGGGCAGCTACCGGTGATCAACGTGGAGGTACCAGCTAGGCTCTAGGGCATCTGTCCGTTACTCTGTCCACCAAGAAGCTCCTGCTGGGCTAAGCCATGGTTTATTATCAGAGTGTACTTCATGCCCGCCCTAAGCCAAGCACTGCTGGGGTAAGACGCCATACTGCCTTTGAAGGGCTCACAGTTTAGAGGACAGTGAAGGAACTGACTCTGGGGTGGTGAGTACCATTACCTGCTGGTGCCACCAAGGCTGCAAGAATGGCACCTGCCCACTCTCGAGTGGTAGCTGAGATGCCCAAAGGAGGTGACTGCCTAGTGGAGATCTGGCGTATGGATCAGGAGTCCCTACCTGTCCCCATGCCTGGGGGAATAGGAGTTAAAGAGCTTGGTGGAAGAAATGATGCTGATCTTCTCTTTGTTCCTGAAAGATTTCCCCGTGGACGATGGCAGCCACGATCCAGGCCATGGAGAGGAAGATTGAATCCCAGGCTGCTCGGTTACTTTCCCTTGAAGGCCGGACTGGTATGGCCGAGAAGAAGCTGGCCGACTGCGAGAAGACGGCCGTGGAGTTCGGGAACCAGCTGGAGGGCAAGTGGGCCGTGCTGGGGACGCTGCTGCAGGAGTACGGGCTGCTGCAGCGGCGGCTGGAGAACATGGAGAACCTGCTGCGCAACCGGAACTTCTGGATCCTGCGGCTGCCCCCGGGCGGCAAGGGCGAGGTGCCCAAGGTCAGCTCGTGGGCCTCCTGGGGCGGGGGAGCCAGTGCGGCCCAGCCTGTAGGCGTGCGTGTGAGCGCGTGTGGCACTGTGGTTCCAGGTGCCCGTGACCTTCGATGATGTGGCCGTGTATTTCTCTGAGCAGGAGTGGGGACAGCTGGACGAGTGGCAGCGGGAGCTCTACAAGCACGTGATGCGGGGCAACTACGAGACGCTGGTCTCCCTGGGTAAGGCTGGCACTCATTTCTCTGACGAGTGTGGTTTGGAGCATCATTGCCTCTCTCCTTGCTGGGCTCCTCTAGGAGAGCTGTTAAGTCCCTAGGAAGTTGGGCCACACAAGTGGTTATCTCTGCTCCTATAGGAGAGGAAGCGATGGGCTGAGTCAGACGCTCCCTCCCACCAATGGTTGAGGTTTGTGGAGCCTCGGGCCTGGAGCATGGACCCTTCTGTCCTTGCTGGGGCAGAGCAGGCTCTTACCACTCCCACGTTCAGTCCCTTGTTGACCCCGCTCCCTCGACGGCCTTCTCTGAGCACTCACACGTGAAATGGATGGGTTCATGTGACTCCCCTTGAGGCGGGGGCACTGTGAGCAGGCTTCACTACTGGCTACCACACGTGTCTTCCTCATGCCCAAGGCTTGCTTCCCCTGACCCCTTGGGGCACTGTTGTCCTCACTTGACACTGCCTGGTAAGAGTCTGCCCTCTGTTTCTTCCGAACTATGTCTCCCCGTGATGGTTTCTGGGTATGACCCTGGCTCTGAAGACAGTACTACATGCTTAGTGAGGACGGGGCCAGGACAAGCCTATACATGCTGCTTCATGTGGAGGCTCTGCTAGGATCTCTCAGCCTCAGTGTAGTGACATGGGTGACTAGACAATTGTTTGTCATTGGGGCTGTCCTGTGCACTGCAGGGTGTGGGCAGCAGTGCCTCTGGACTCCACTCACGGGCCATACCCCAGTAATGACAACCAAATGTGTCTCCAGACTTTGCCAAGTGTTCCCTGAGAGCAACGTCGCCTCTGGTTGAGAACCACTGCTCTGTATCAGTGAAGAAATTTTACATATAGATGATTCTTGGTTTCTGGCCAGCTTCCCAGGCTGCCTGTCCCCAGCTCAGAATGGAACACAGCAGAAGCTAACCTTTCTGTCTTCTCTCAGACTATGCTATCTCCAAGCCTGAGGTCCTCTCCCAGATTGAACAAGGGAAGGAACCGTGCAGTTGGCGTCGCACTGGCCCCAAGATTCCAGATGTTCCTGTCGATCCTAGTCCAGGTGAGGGGCGGGGAGAATGGCAGGGAGATACCAGGTAACCAGATGGAAACAGGAAAGTCAAGGGCCAGGCAGTGTGATCCTTCCAGAGAGAACCAAGGAGAGTATCAGACTGGAATGGTTGAGAAGTGAAGGATTTTCAGTTAGGGCCTGCTCAGCTTGCATTCTGGAGACATACCTCCCAGCATGGAAGTGGACTGCAAGCGTGGTCTTCTGGGAAAGAGTCACAGTGTCAGGCCCAGAGTGAGAAGAGGAAGGGGTAAGGAGGTGGCACTTCATGAAAGACAAAATCTGATTCATCCATAGCTTTACAGAGTCAGCCTTGCCTCCAGCCAAGAACTGAACTTCACGTAAAACCATTAGTAGTTACAGAACATGAATCGTTTGTTGCCGTGTGTTTTGGCAATTTTTTTTCTTCCTACAATACATCCTTTGGAAGTTCTGTCTGAGGGTCTGATGGTAATGAACTCTCAGTGTGTGTGTTTGTGTATGAGTTCATGTTTCTGGAAACCTCTCTGTTCCATCCCTGTGTTTGAAAGGTAGAATTGAACTGTTCCTTCTTGGAGCTCTGTGACGATGCCTCGTCCTGTTGTCCTGGCTTCTCGCTGCTGTTCTGAAGCTACCTGTCCATGCAGTCAGTGTCCTTCTCTGGGTGATCTGCCTTTCCTCTCTGGCCACGTTTAGATCTCCCTTCAACCCTGTATGTCAACCTGTGGATTTCTTTTACTTTATCCTTGTTTAATCATTGACGTTTTCCTCAGCTTGGGAATTCACCACACTGTCTCTGGATATTGCCTTGCGTGACTCTCCATTCTTTCTCGGCACCTCCCTCATCTTAGTCTCCATTTTGCTGAACCTCTCTGTGTTTTCCACCTCTGTCCCATGCCAAGTTCTGAATAATTTCTTTTGATCTGTCTTCTGGTTAGTTCATCATTCTGTTTTAACCCACAGATTTGATTTTTCTTTTTAATTATTTCAACTTGCCATTCTAAATTTATATTTGATTGTTTTGCAAAATCTGATTACCCAGTTTTGATATCTCGTTTATCTTCATACTTTTACTTCCGCCTTCATTTCTCTAAATATATTGCTGTTGTTAGGTGCTGTCAAGTGGGTTCTCAATCATAGCCGCCCACATGCACGAAGAAGAAACACTGGCAGGTCATTGCTGGGTTTGAGCCCACTGTTCCAACCACTGTGTCGGTCCATCTCCTTTGGGATCTTCCTCTTTTCACTCTTCCTTTACTTTACCGAGCATGCTATCCTTCTCCGGGGACTGATCCTTCCTCACAACATGCCCAGAGCACGAAAGATGAGGTCTGGCCATCTTTACTTCTAAGAAGCATTCTGGTTGTACTTCTTCCAAGACAGATGTATTCATTATTCTTTACCAAAACCATAATTCAAATACACAAATTCTTCTATGGTCTTCTTTATTCCTTGTCTAACTTACACATGTATGTAAGGCAATTGAAAATGCCATGGCTTGGGTCAAGTGCACCTTAATCCTCAAAGTGACATCTTTGCTTTTTAACACTTTAAAGAGGTCTTTGGCAGCAGATTTGCCTAGTGCAATACATCATTTGATTTCTTGACTGCTGCTTGCATGGGCGTTGATTGTGGATCCAAGTAAAATGAAATCCTTGACAGCTTGAATCTTTTCTCCATTTATCATGATATTGCTTATTGGTCTAGTTGTGAGGATTTTTGTTTTCTTTATATTGAGGTGTAATCCATACTGAAGGCTGCAGTCTTTGATCTTCATCAGTAAGTGCTTCAAGTCCTCTTCGCGTTCAGCAGCCAAGGTTGTGTTCTCTGCATATTGCAAGTTGTTAATGAATCAGACTCCAATCCTGATGCTGCGTTTTTTTTTTTTTCATATAGTCCAGCTTCTCAGATTATTTCCTCAGCATACAGATTGAGTGAGTATGGTGAAAGGATACAGCCCTTGTGTGCACATCTTTCCTAACTTTCCACCACACAGAGTTCTCTTGTCCTGTTTGAACAGCTGCCTCTTGCTCTATGTACAAGTTCCACATGTGCACCATGAAGTGTTCTGGAATTCCCACTCTTCTCAATGTTATTTGTAATTCGTGATCTGCACAGTCAGATGCCTTTGTGTAGTCAATAAAAGCGGGTAAATACGTTCAGAGAAGTTCAGTATCTTTGGCCAAAACAAGGCCAAGAGCTGATTGTGGAGCAGACCATATGCAAGTTCATATGCTCATATACAAGTTCAGCTTGAAGTTGAAGACAATTAAAACAAGTCCACAAGAGCCAAAATATGACCTTGATAGTATCCCTCCTGAATTTAGAGACCATTTAAAGAATAGATTTGATGCATTGAACACCAATAACTGAAAGCCAGAGGAATTGTGGGATGACATCAAGAACATCATCCATGAAGGAAGTAAGAGATCATTAAAAAGACAAGAAAGGAAGAAAAGACCAACATGGATATCAGAAGAGACTCTGAAACTTGCCCTTGAATGGAGAGTAGCTAAAGCAATGGAAGAAATGACAAGATAAAAGAGCTGAACAGATTTCAAAGAGAAGCTCAAGCAGACAAAGCCAGTTACTATAATGAAATGTGCAAAGACCTAGAGTTAGAAAACCAAAAGCGAAGAATATTTTCAGCATTTCTCAAGCTGAAAGAACTGAGCAAAAAATGTAAGCCTTGAGTTGCAATATTGAAAGTTTCTACGAGCAAAATATTGAAAGATGCAGGAAGCATCAAAAGAAGATGGAAGGAATACACAAAGTCCTTGTACCAAAAAAGACCTGGTCGATGTTCATCCATTTCAGGAGGTGGTGTATTACCAAGAACCAGTGGTGTTGAAGGAAGAAGTCAAAGCTGCACTGAAGGAATTAGCAAAGAACAAGGCTCCAGAAATTGACAGAATACCCATTGAGATGTTTCAACAAATGGATGCTGTGCTGGAGACACCCACTCAGCTATGCCAAGAGATTTGGAAGACAGCTACCTGGCCAACAGACTGGAAGAGATCCGTATTTATACCCATTCCAAAGAAAGGTGATCCCATAGAATGTGGAAATTATCAAACAATGTCATTAATATCACATGCAAGTAAAATCTTACTGAAGATACTTCAAAAATGGGTGCAGCGGTATATTGACAGAGAACTTCCAGAAATGCAGGCTGGATTCAGAAGAGGACATGGAATGAGGGATATCACTGCTGATATCAGATGGCTCTTGGCTCAAAGCAAAGAATACCAGAAAGATGTTTACTTGTGTTTTATTGATTAAGCAAAAGCATTTGATTATATGGATCATAGCAAATTATGGGTAACATTGAGAAGAATGGGAATTCCAGAACACTTAATTGTACTCATGAGGAACCTGTACATAGACCAGGAGGCTGTCGTTCGAACAGAAGGAGACAGTGCATGGTTTAAAATCAAGAAGAGTTGTATCCTTTCACCATACTTACTTGATCTATACACTGACCAAATAATCCAAGAAGCTGGATTATGTGGAGAAGAACATGGCATCAGGATTGGAGGAAGACTTATTAACAACCTGCTATGACCCAACTTTGCTTGCTGAAAGTGAGGAGGACTTGAAGCAGTTACTGATGAAAATTGAAAACTACAGTCTGCAGTATGGATTATACTTCAATATAAAGAAAACAAAAATCCTCAAAACTGGTCCAGTAAACAGCTTCACGATGGAGGAAGAAAATATTGAAGTTGTCAAGGATTTCATATCATTGGTTCTACAGTCAACACCAATGGAAGCAGCAGTCAAGACATCAGACAACATATTGCATAGGGCACATTGGCTGCAAAAGATCTCTTGAAGTGATGAAAAGCAAAGTTGTCTCCTTGAAGACTAAGGTGCACCTAACTCAAGCCATGGTATTTTCAGTCGCCTCTTATGCATGGACAATGAATAAGGAAGACTGAAGAAGAGTTGATGCTTTTGACTCATGGTATTGGAAAAGAGTGCTAAGAGTACCATGGTCTGCTAGAAGGACTAACAAATCTGTCCTGGAAGAAGTGCAGCCAGAATGCTCCTTGGAACCAAGAATGGCCAGACTCCATCTCACCTACTTTGGTCATGTTGTCAAAAGGAACAATTCGCTGGAGAAGGATAGCATGCTTGGTGAAGTGGAGGGTCAAAGAAGAAGGAGGAGCCCCGCAAGGAGATGGATTGACACAGTGGCTCCAACGATGGGCTCAGGTAAAGCAAGGATCGTGAGGCTGGCACAAGACCGGGCAGTGTTTCGTTCTGCTGTGTGTAGTGTCGCTGTGAGTCGGAGACGACTCAGCGGCTCCTAACAACAACAACAGCAAATACCTTTTTGGTTTTCTTTGCTTTCAGCCAAACTCCATCTGACATCAACAGTGATAGCCTTTCTTCTCCATCTTCTTATGAATCTGGCTTGAATTTCTGAAAAGTCCCTGTTAATGTGCTGCTGTAGCTATCTGTGAATTACCTTCAGCATAATTTTCTTTGCATGCCACATAAGTGATACTGGGTGATAATTTCCATATTCCATTAGATCACTTAAATTTAGAATAGGCATAAACATGGATCTCTTCCCGTCAGGCCAGGTACCGGTGTTCCAGATTTCTTGGTGTAAACAAGTGAGTGGTTCCAGCACTGCATCCATTTGTTGAAATATCTCAGTGGGTATTTTGTCAGTTCCTGGAGCCTTGTTTTTTGCCAGTGCCTTCAGTACAGCGTGGACTTCTTCAATACCATCAGTTTTTGATCACATGCTATTGCCTGGAATGGGTAAATACTGACTACGTCTTTTTGATGCAGTGACTCTGTATTCCATCCATCTTCTTTCGATGTTTCCTGTATTCAATATTTTGCCCGTAGAATCCTTCAGTATTGCAACCTGAGCCTTGAATTTTTTCGTTGGTTCTTATAGCTTGAGAAATGTCAAGTGTGTTTTTCCCTTTGGTTTTCCAACTTCAGGTCTTTGCACGTTTCTTATAATACTTTACTTTGTCTTGAGCTGCTCTTTGAAATCTTCTGTTCAGTTCTTTTATTTCAGCATTTCTTCCATTCACTTTAGGCACCCTCTGTTCAAGAGCAAGTTCCATAGTCTCTTCTGAAACCCGTTTTGGTCTTTTTTTGCTTTCTTGTCTTTTTAATGACATTTTGCTTTCTTCATGTTATGATGTCCTTAATGTCATCCCACACCTCCTCTGGTCTTTGGGTCATTGGTGTTCAGTGCATCATATCCGTTCTTGAGGTAGTCTCTAAATTCAGGTGGGATATACTTAAGATTGTATTTTGGCCTTCATGGACTTGTTTGAATCTTCTTCAGCTTCAACTTGAACATGCCTATGAGTGGTTGATGGTTTGTCCCACAGTCGCCCTGGGTCTTGTTCTGACTGATGATATTGAGCTTCTCCAGCAACTCTTTCCACAGATGTAGTCAGTTTTATTTCATGTATAGTCACTGTTTGTGTTGTTGGAAAAAGGTATTTGCAACAAATAAGTCATTGGTCTTGCTCAGTTGTATCATTTGATCTCTGGAGTCATTTCTGTCACCAAGGCCATATTTTCCAACCACCCATCCTCCTTTGTTTCCAACTTTGGCTTTCCAGTCACCAGTAATTATCAATGCATCCTGATTGCATGTTAGATCAGTTTCAGACTACAAAGATTTCATCTTTGGCTTTAGTGGTTGGTGCGCAGGTTTGAATAATGGTATTAACTGGTCTTCCTTACAGGTGTATGGATATAATCCTATCACTGACAGCATTTTACTTCTGGACAGATCTTGAAATGTTCTTTTTGATGATGAAAGGGATGCTATTCCTCTTGAATCTGTCATTCTTGGCATAGTACACAGGAACTCTGCTGATGCAATATTTAAGGCATTCAGCTGCTAACCAAAAGGTCAGGAGTTTGAACCCACCAGTTGCTCCTTGGGAGAAAGATGAGGCAGCCTGCTTCTGTAAAGATGACAGCCTTGGAAACCCTCTGGGGCAGTTCCACTCTGTCCTCTAGGGGCGCTGCCAGTTGGAATTGATTCCATGGCAATAGGTTTGGTTTGGGCTTGGCTTCTGTGAAGACTGGCAGCCTTGGAGACCCTGTGGTTTCCTACTCTGTTCTGTAGGGTCAGTGTGAATCAAAATCGACTTGACAGCAGTGGGTTTGGTTTTTGGTTTTGGCGCAGTGAGCCGTGTGATTCGCTCATTCAAGATGGCCAGAAGCGGTGCATTGTGGCTCAGTGCTAGGGCATCGATCTTCAAGTGTTCCATTTCATTTTTGACAACATCTAATGTTCGTTGGTTCATACTTGGTACAATTCACGTTTCAATTGGTGATGGAGGTTTACAGCTCTCTCCTCATTTTGAGTTGTACCACGTCAGTAAATGAAGGTCCTGAAAGCTCTACTCCATCCACATCATTGGATCACCTCTACTTTGATACAAACCTGGGGGCCACTTCAAGCTGCTCTTCTCCCAGAGACTTTTGGCCCCACTGGTGGTATGAGTGCCCTCTGGGGTTTGTCAACTTCCGGGGAGCAACTTTTTCCCCCCGAAGCCTAGAGCCAAGGCCAGGCAGGCAGGTTTCCTGCAAGGCATGTTTTCACTTTTGTTTTTGTCTTAAATGTAACCCACTGGGAAGGTTGACCCTTGGGGTCCAAGATTTAGGTGGGGGGCAGTGGTCTTCGGTCTCCCACCCTGCTTGAACTCCAGGCTGTCATACCCCCTAGGTCAGATGTGTACTTGCCATTAAAACCCAGGCTCTAGGAGGTCGGGAGACACTGAAGGCCCGTTGGCCGTAGTTGTTCTAGGGTTTTTCACAGCTCTGCCTCTGCCGTCCTTCATTTCCAGATCCTGTTTGAAAAAATCCATGTTTATGCTTCACCCAGCACTTGTATGTGTTCGGTGCTCTAGAGGAATTTCTCTGCGTGTCTAGCCACTTGTGTGCTTGAAGTAGGGGCACTGGACACTGCCTCTGCCTGTGGCGGCATGGTTGTATCATTTCCCATGGTAACTCCTAGAAAGAATCTTCCCATTAAAATCTCTGTTGAATTTGTGACATCTCACTGTAATGTTAACTTATCCTTGAGTTCTTGGGACAAACCCACCCTGCTCATAATGTGTTGCTTTTTTTTTTTTCTTTTTTAAAAAATACATTTATGTACATGATTGGTTTTATTTAGTTTTCTGTTCGCCTATGAGACGATTATATAAATTGTTTTCATATACTGTCCTCTTTGACTTACTTTGATCATGTTGTCAGAAGGGACCATTCCCTGGAGAAGGATGTCATGCTTGGTAAGGTGGAGGGTGGACGAAAGAGGGGAAGGCCCTCAGCGAGACGCATTGACACAGTGGCTGTGGCAGTGGGCTCAGGTATAGCAGGGATCACGGAGCTGGCTCAGGACTGGGCAGTGTTTCGTTCTCCTGTGCCCAGGGTTGCTGTGAGTCGAAGATGATGCAGTAACACCTAACAACAACAACGTACTGTCCTCTAGTTTTGACTCAAAGTTACACTTGTAAAATGAGTTGACGGGTATTTTTTTCTCAGCATTTTGAAGACATCCCATTATGTCCTGATAACAAAATTGCTGATGGAAATCTGCTTTCAGTCAGCATCTCAGTCTTTTTTTCCTAAGTGCCTCTTAAGGTTTTGTTGTTACTCTTATTGCACTTCATGTAAACGTTGTCTAGGTTTATGTATTTCCTATTTCAAACTGCCGAGTAATGATGTCTTGAATTTTGGAGAACTCCTAGCTCTTTCTTCTTCACTCACCTCTTGTCCTTCCTTAGGAAAGAACCCGCTCTCCATGCCCCTTGTCTCTTCTCTGGCTGTGTATCGTTTCTTTATTGCCCATCACTCTCCTCTCAAGTATTTCCCTGGGCCCAGCTTCCAGGTCACTGACTTTCTCTTCACCTGTGTTCAGCCACCCATTGAGATTTTCATTTCAGGCTGCTTTTGTCATTTCTAGAATGTCTGGTTTTTCCAAATTTGCCTTTTTTAAAATACTTTTTGCTGTAGACCCTTCCTTTCTGTTTCTTTGGCTGTTTTGCTCGTACTTGTTCTACTGTATGGTCCAGCTACCCTTCTTCCTGTCGTTCTCAGGAGCACCCTGTGTTTGATTTGCTGACTCTTAACAGTGCTTTTCGGCTTCTCTTCCAGTTTGTAATTTCAGTTTTTTAGTGGGAGTCCCTTGTGGTCTCCTGTGCTGGGAGGTCCCTTGGGGTCAGTGTTGCACTTAACTGTTCTGGGACCCCAGAAGTTTCCTTGGTTCTCAGCCTGTTTTTATGTGAGTTTTTCAGCCTAGAGTTTCTGCCCCATGTGGCTACTGTGAATTCAGTATGCACATGGGCCTTGGACTTCCCACAGGTGGCGCTCCCCCCCCCCATGCCCTGGAGAAGTGGGCGCCTCCCACTCTTTGCCTTATGGACGCGAAAACCCCAGCCTTAAGGTCTATCCTGACTCCAAAGACCCTGGGGGCCACTTGGCCTCAGCTCTAACTCTTGATTTGACTTCTTGTTTTCTTCTGATCCTTATGTCTAGAATCTTTGTTTTGAGCTCACTTAAATATGTTGTGGGGTCTTGGGGGGGGCTTCCGGTTCCATTTTGTCTGGACTCCTGTGTCTCTCCTGGCAGCCAGCCTTCCCACTGTTAGAAGTCGGCCTGTAGACTCATGTATCCCCTGCCCCTGCCCCCAGGCTTGTGTGTCCTCAGACTTTGCCCCTGTTTGCCGTTGCCTTCTCCTTCCTCGGTCTCCTTGCTGTTGGACCCCTTTCCTGGCTGGGCCCCTTGTCGCATTAGCCCTGGGGCCTGTGAGGCAGCGGGCTGCTGGCTCACGCCCTCTCCCTCCCTAGGCTCCGGGCCGCCCGTTCCGGCCCCTGACCTCTTGATGCAGATCAAGCAGGAAGGGGAGCTGCAGCTCCAGGAGCAGCAGGCGCTGGGGGTGGAGGCCTGGGCGGCTGGGCAGCCGGACATCGGGGAGGAGCCCTGGGGCCTGAGCCCGCTGGACTCTGGGGCCGGAGACCTGTCGGCAGACACGACCCCTGGTGAGTAACGAGGATGCGGAGCGCCGGGGGCACTGGGGCAGATGGAGAGGAAGGGACTCGGGGCACCGGGGGGCATCTTGGGCTCTCGGAGCGTCTGGCCCGTCTTGAGGGCTGCTGGCTTCAGTGGCTCTGTGGTCCACATCCTCACCCTGTTTTTCCTCCTCTCCCAGCAGCAAGCATCTAAGAAGTTAGCAAGATCTGAGCTCCCTTGAGCTTCAGGGAGAGACTCAGAAGCTGGGTCAGGAGAGGCCAGGCCACTATGTTTGTTTGCAGGGTGTCTTGGGGCTCGCCCACTCTTCCTCTCCCTTCCTCTGTCCCCTCTCTTCCCTGAACCCCCTCTGTCCCCGCCTTTCCCTGAACCCCTTTTCCCCCCTCCTCCTTTTCTGAACCCACAAGCACTGGTCACTTCCCCGCAGGTGTCCATTCCAGCTTTTCTACCACCATCCCACCCACCTCCTGGCAGGCAGACCTCCCTCCCCACCACCCTTCTTCAGCCTGCTCAGATGGGAGCCTGAGGCTCAACACCACAGCATCCACAGAAGGTACTCGGGGGAGAGGTGGGGGATGTGCACCTGTGGAAGATGCCTCGCTGCACATGCTCTCGTTTTGATGGGTGTGCTTCCAGACCTGTCGGCCCACAGGCCCTGAGGAATCTGTGGGGCCATGACCCTTGTCCTCTGCTCTTACCGCCTTTCACATGGTGTTAATCAGTCTGACCTGGTCAGCTGATTCTGTGAAAGAACAGACTGCAGAAAACAAAACTGGGCCAAAAACATGTTGTTGTTATTGCTAAAGACAGGTGTCTGAAGGCCAGAACTGGAAACAAATGCCAACCGTAACAGTCTCCTGTCTCTGTACTGAAGGCCAGTTGTCTATCACTTTAAGTAGCAATTGCTCCATATTTAGCATCAAAATGTTAAAAAAAAAAAAAAGCCTGGATCCGCTGGTAGAGAACTTCTGGATGAGAGACTCAGGGGCATGTCTGTGGACGCGCACGTTGGCCTGTTCAGCAACGTTGACAGTTGCTGGTCCGGCTGCACGGCGTTGGCTGTGTGCCAGCGAGCTGTGAGTGTCTGATACCACAGAGGAGGTGGGGTGGGGCAGAGCTGGACAGGAGCTCAGGCCCAACTGCATCCCAGCCAGCCCCCTTGCTCCTCAGGTTCGTGCCCCCAGAGGGCAGTTATTTCTCAGGGTAAATGCATGGTGAGCCAGCACCTCACAGGACCCAAAGAGCCAACCAGTGGCTGCTTGTCCTCGATGGAGGCCGAGCACAGGTGTGCTCACGGCTCCTGAGCAGTGGTCTAGAGGGCGGAGGGCCTGAGGGAGGTGGCTGTGGCCTGAGCGGGGCGGGGACAGGTGCCACTGGGTCTTCCACTTTCTCAGCAGATGTGAAAATCGTGATAAAAACGGAGGTCCAGGAAGAGGAGGTTGTGGCCACGCCAGTGCACCCTACTGACCTGGAGGCCCACGGAGCCCTGTTTGGACCAGGCCAGGCCACCAGGTTCTTCCCCAGCCCTGTCCAGGAGGGGGCCTGGGAGAGCCAGGGCGGCTCATTTCCCAGCCAGGACCCCGTGCTGGGGCTGAGGGAACCCGGCCGGCCAGAGCGGGACGTCCGTGAGCTCAGCCCTGCTGTGGCCCAGGACGAGGTGCCTGCAGGGGACTGGCTCTTCGGGGGGGTTCGGTGGGGCTGGAACTTCAGGTGCAAACCTTCTGTGGGCTTGAACCCGAGGGCTGGGCCTGAGGGGCTCCCCTACCCGTCCCCAGACAGTGGGGATGCTGTCCTGGACCCCGGCCAGGCCCCAAGACCCTTCAGCGAGCGCTGTAAGTACCCGGGCTGGACCAAGGGCTTTGGCCACAAGCCGGGGCCCAAGAAGCACCCGACGGCTCCGC